TCAAAGAACAAAAAGTGGAAAGGTGAGAGGTCGTGTTGTAATGGAGTCACGCTAATGTGCGCGTAAGCATGCATGTGCCACACAGTGTTAAAGCCGTGCTGCCTCACCCGCGGAGATACGCCGAGGAGCTGCGCGTTTCATCCTGTCCGCCAGCCACCGGTGCGGGTCTTGTGCTCCTTAAAAGCCCCACCTGCGGGCAGAGCTGTGCGCACAGGGGCCTGTGGTTTGCGTGCTGAAGGGAAGCCGGCATGGGTACAGCAGCCCGCGCGGGGGTGGAGTGCAGAGGATAGGGCCAGACCCAAGTGCCTCTTGGTCAGCCCCAGTGACACTCCCGGGTCCACTGCTTTTGTTCTTTGGGAAGCTCTGCCCTACAGTTCTAGCAGCAGCTACACGGTAAGCATCTATTTATGACAGACGCTTGAGGACCAGCATGTTGGAGGGGCTGGAGCGATGGCTGGGGTTAAGAGCACTTAGTACTCTTCAGAGGACCCAGGCCCAGGTTCCCCGCATCCGCGTGCCGGCTAACAATTGTCTGTCCCTGCAGTTCCAAGGGACCCAATTGCTCTCTTTTGGCCTCTGCGGGCATTGTGTTAGTGGGTGTACTTACATCCATGCTGGCAAAGCATTCATTCACATAAAGTAAAATCTAGAAAAAGAGTGTGCTCAAAATGAGAGTGAGGGAAGGATGGTTCTAAGGGTTAGTCCCGGCTCTCCACTGAGTGGCTTTACAATATGTGGGACAACTATTGGTTGGTTGGCCAAGAAGAGGGAAGAAATATAGTTGTTTGAATCTTTTCAACTCATAAAAAACTCAGGCTACAAATGTATCAGAGGGCTTGCCTAGCATTCTTGTGGTCCTGCGGTCCATCCTGAGGTCCATCCTGGGGTCCATCCTCAGCACCAAACAACGATGATGGCAACACAAGAAACAACAACAATAATGAATGCAATTTGGTCTCTTTAGCTGGAAGAAATGTTTGTTCTATAATCTGGGCCTGGTGGTATACTCCTGTGATTCTGGCACTCACTCATAAAACTGAGGCAGGGGGATTATGAGTTAATTTAAGGCCAGCCTGGGTTATAGAAAACCTCAAAGCAATATCAAACAATAAAAAATAAAGACTTTCGATAAGCCCCACTCTAAATATTGAGTAAGTGAAACTCAGAAGAATGAGATAATGTACTCAAAGTTAAAGCAAAGCAAAGGCAGAATGAGCTGCTAAATCTAGACTTCTCACAGTATCATTTCCCTGTGGTACAGCCTTTGCCTGGGACGCTAAACTAATGTATCCAAATTTGACGAACATCAAACATAGCAAACAGACACATACACCAGATACACCCAGACACACACACATGCACACACACACACACACACACACACACCCCTTTTATTATGATTTGGGTCACCAGTCTTCAAAAAAAGATAACTGATTCCTTCAAATTTTATGTTTATTTTTCCTCCTAGGGTTTCCATCGCCATTTTCGGATGTTTGGCTAAAAAAGATAGTTTCAAAGGAAAACTAATTTGTCCTCTTTATATTTAATATTATTTATTTTTTATTTTTATGTGTAGGAGTGTATTGTCTGCATGTGTGTATGTACACCTGTGTCCTGCAATGCCCATGGAGGTCAGACAATCCCTTGGAACTGGAGTTACCAGTGGTTGTTAGCCACCATGTGGATGCTAGGAACAGAACCTGGGTCCTCAGTGAGAGCAGTCAGTGCTCTTAACCACTGAGCCACCTCTCCAACCCCTAATTTGTTGTCTTTAAATTCCAGCAATGAACCAGATAATCAGGAAGTGTGCTCTTTCTTGCATTGTGTCTGTGGAGAGGAGGCCTTAACATTTCTAGAACATGATGCTGGAAGAAAATGGGAAAGACTCCAACCAGCACACTGGAAGTTGGGCAGTTTTGGGGTGAAGGGCAACCAAAGAAAATATAAAGTCCTCAGTTATTCTTTTCATCCCAGCACTGCCAAAGGCCAATGCCCAGCTGATCCCATACTCCCAGGAGAAACCCCCTTCCTTCATCCCAGAATTCCGCTGAGCACTCAAAGACAACACTTGGATAGCTTTCACTATTAAACTCTAAACCAAGGATGTTGAGAGATGGGAGTTTATATAAGGATGGAGGATATAGGCTTATAACCGGTCCTAAATTAACTGGTTATAAAAGAAGATAATACAGAATAAATCTTTAAAAACTACATCTAGGAAAAAAGTGGGAACTTCTTGGCTTTTAAAAATGCCCCCCAAAGCTGGGCGTGGTGGCACATGCCTTCAGTCCCAGCACTCGGGAGGCAGAGGCAGGTGGATCTCTGTGAGTTCAAGGCCAGCCTGGTCTACATAGTGAGTTCCAGGACAGCGGGGGCTACAGGGAGACCCTGTCTCAAAAAGACAAAAAAAAAAGCCCCCTAAATGGCATGTATTTTCCACACATTGGTTTCCACACATTTTGAATAACAACATGTTCTAGATACACAAGAAGAGTAGAGAAATGGTGGGAAGGAAAAGACACCCCCAGACTTCTGAAAATGTGGCACTTAATACATGTGCATGAAAGCCACAACAGGAACAGAAAAAGGAACAAGCAGTGCTCAGTACTGGGACTAAGAGAGTCATGGGAGGGGCCTAGAGGACATGATCTTGTTCCGTCCAGCGTGTGCTGTCCAGAACTTGCTGACAAGTTCTGTTTCGGTATTTATCGTCTTTGCACAATGACCATCATCACTCTAATATGCTCGATTCAGACAAAGAGATTTTATATATTTAACAAAACAAGTACATATCCCCACTACCTTACATATACAGACACAGTATTAATAATTTCCTTGGAACTAATGTCAGAGGAGCTGATCACACCCACACATCATTAGCTTCCTGGAAACTTCCAGCGAGAGTATTGGACTTGGGAAACAGAGTGAACTCACCACGGCAACTTTCAAAAATATGAACGTAAAGTCATCAGCACTAACGCTATGAGGCCCATCCAGCAATAAAGACAATGTCAGGAAGTATGGACACACACAGAAAAACTGATCTCTGAGCAGAATCCTTGGCCACCACAAGAAAGCCTTGAATTGCTCCTGGTCTTATTGTCAAACATTGATTTGAAGAACAGTAATTCCAGTAGAAAATTTGCAGGGAATTCTCAAAAGAGAATTGTAATCAGAGATCTTATAAAGGAATCTATCATTGTATGTAGTTATTTTCCTTTCTTTTAAGTTAAAAAAAAAAGACACGTGGGGCTGGAGAGATGGCTCAGCGGTTAAGAGCACTGATTGATCTTACAGAGGACCCGGGTTCGATTCCCAGCACCCACATGGTGGCTATGAACCATCCTTAACTCCAGTTCCAGGGGAATCCGAAGCCCTCTTCTGACCTCCGCAGCATTGCACAACGCGGGTGCACTCACATACATGCAGACAATACACTCGTACACATAAAATAAAAATAATAAAATATTTTTTAAAAGGCACTACATTGTGCATTACCTCAACTCTCTGAAGTTGAGTCAACCTTAGCCCTCACTGACCCTGGTAACCACCTCAGTGGACCCAGCATGACAGCAGGTGAACTGCTCATCAGATCTCTTGTAAATGGTAGTTGGAAGGGTAGAAGTAAAATTGGTTTTTTTCTCCTCATATAATTTGAAGATTACAGAGTATGGGTTTCAAAGGTGAGAGTGAATTACTAGTTAAGTTGAAGCATTTGAAATGAGCATGTAAAACTGCTCCTCATAATAGTGATTAAGGAATAATTAATCATGAGGCAGAAAATGGTCGCAAAGCAGTAAGATTCTTAGGAACTAGTTTCTATGGAGCCTCTAGATGACATCACTGAAAAGCAGTGCATGTTAGCCTGGGTTCTTCCTCACTAAGCTGTTTTACTTTGGGAGACAGGTCAGTCTGTAAAGTGCTAGCTGAAGTGCTTCCTGTATAAAGCCCTGAAGTCCTGAGTTCCATCTCTAGAACCCAAGTTGAAGTAGGGTGTGGTGGATCACCACTGAAATCCCAGTGCAGGGAAGGTAGAGGCAGGAGAACCCCTCGGGCTCACTGGCCAGTCAGCCTGGCTTATGTGGTGAGCCCCAGGCTAGTGGGACACACTATCTCCAAAAACAAGGTGTTTGGTGCCTGATGACCAGCAACATCTGAGTTTGTCCTCTGGCCTCACCGCCTATGAGCACTGGTGCATGCAGACACGTACACACACACACACACACACACACACACACACACACACACACACACCCTGGACACACATGTACATGCATACACAAAGAAAAAACACATAAGCAGCATTTCATGGGTTTCCAGGACAACACAATCTCACAGGTGCTCAAAAATCTGCAGGCTGACTGTGACCTCCCTTTGCCTGGTGCTCCAGGTGTGAAGGACGCAAGAGCAGTGATGTCTTAGGCATAGCTCAAAACCACCTTAATTTTTAGTATAAATCTTTATAAACTCAGACATTTTAAGCCACTTTAGCGTATTTGAGACACTCTTTCAAAGCCCCTGTGGACACCCCCTTTGAGAGTTTAAAAACTTTTCGGCAGCCAGGCACGGTAGTGAATGCCTGTAATTGTAGCATTTGAGAGGCTGAGGCACAAGACAGAGTTCTAGGCCAGCCTGGGCTGCATAGAAAAAAAATGGTACACGAAAGAACAGATAACAGATAAATAGAGCACCGTGCTCAGTTTGTAGATTCCTGAGGGTCCTCGGGTGGTATATCTGCTGGCGCGTGGTCTAGCCTAGCACTTAGCACTTCTCATTTTTGAAATTCATTTGCTTTTTTTCCCCTCTGTTGAGATAGTCTCACTGTGTTTATCAGTTTGGCCTTGAACTTGTGGTGAACCTCCTGCCTCAGCCTCTGGCATGGTGGAATGACCATGTGGACACAGTATCTGGCCCTTGGGTATTAATTAAAATGCCGGACAATTGATTGACACACGTATCTTTAGCAAGAAAATGAATGAAGGCAGCATTTACATCCTGGTTTAAATTTTAATCAATTGTTATTTATTAATCAGCTAATCTGCACAACAAACCTGTGAGGTAGTTTAGCATGCCTTTAATATGAACAAATTAAGATCCAGAAAAGGAGAAAGTCCATCCCCACAATAAAATGTTGGTCAGACCCTTCTTATTCTTAGAAAAGAAAAATAATTCCTTGGACAAGCCGATCAAGTGAAAAATAAATATTTACCAGGGCGTCTAGTCATTACCTGGCAGTTTCTTATTGGGGGTTTCATGATCTGTGTTCCCACCACCTCGTCATAAATGCCCCGGACAGCTCAGCCCCTCCCTCTGGGGAGTTGCTTACAGGACTGTCAGAATTGGGCATGTCTCTTTGTTTTCGTCTTTGGGGATGGTTGGCCTAATAAACTCACTCCAGTAGAAGGTGTGACAATTCTTGCCACATCAATTTATGTTTATATGTCATCTAAGAGGCCAGTGGGAAACAAAGCCTCTTGGTCTTTGCAGTCCAGTCATGAATGAGAGTTTTATAGACACTATTATCAGCAGACGGATCACAGCAGCACCGGCTACTTAGCAGGTTGCTTTATGACCATATTTATTAGTTCACTGGACTGTGTAGACTGTACACAAGGAAAGCTCATTAATTTGGGTTTCACGACTATGGCATTTGTGGTCTGGCCTGAAGCTTATTTCTGCACTAAAGAGGAAGAACCTTTTGTAAAGCAAATTTGGATTGTATTACGAGGACCAAGGAGTGATTTAGCTCTTTAGGAAGACAAGACTAGGCCTAACAATACAGCTCAGCAGGAGGGCACATGTACAAAGCATGGCGTGTCCCCAGTATTGTCTCATGGACAAAAAGAGAAGGAGATGATGCCAACCCTTAATGACTGCCCTTTTAAATACTGAACATTTTAATTTAATATAAAGAGTCCATTAGGCATGTGTACTATCTTAATTTTTAGTTATTTTCCTCTTCATTGCAACAAAATTTCAAGTAGACAGTACTTGGTTAGTCAACATTTACTTCAAACACTCTGGAACAACAAAAGTATTTTAAACACAGATAACACGGACAGCTCTCTCTTTCATAGATGAGTTTTCTCCATGTCTTCCTTGAATATGGTTTACAGACAGAGCTTCCGTGAGTCCTCATCTGCTATGATCAGGTTGTTCTCTACCAGGGAAGCTGCAGGTTGACTGGCCAGGCCCCCGGGGTGCAGCCAGGTCTCCATGCTTCTCTTTTATCGCCTTTGGGATCAACTGGCCAATTGAAAACATTTACCTTAAATCCCACTCCCATCCCCTCATAATAAGGAAAGCAAGCAGACTTAATTAAGCAACGTCATACCAAAGAAACAAACACTGACCAATAGCTTCCCAAATAGAGACGTCTCTATTCAAGAGTTCCCAGAATATAAATAGCATTTTTGAGCAGCAATCAGGGCATATCTTCATGGGCTGCTGAATGACAATTTTCTTTATCTGCATGGGCAAAAATAAACTTTAGAACACTCACCCAGCAAAACCTCTAGTGGGGCATTTGTGGCAGGTTGCCAAAAAGCAGTGGTATTTAGAGAGGCACTCTGAAATAATCTGATTATTGTAGCTGGAAGCTTATCTATAAAGGACTTGGCAGAGTTTCTCTGTAAAGCAAAGGAAATCTATGATCATAGGCTTTTTCTATATTAGGTTATTAAAAAAATAAACACAACACTCCAGGGCAAGAGCTCAGGCACTAAACACAAACATAACAGATATTGTTTTTAACTCAGACAATGCCTATTTTACAGCAGAGTTGACAAATAAAGCTTTATTTCACACATTCGAAGAAAAGCCATTACTGGTTTGTAGCTCTGTTATGTGCTTCTTTCCAAAACAGCAAAATAAAACTGTCCGTGCCACACCCTCCTCCCTCCCCACCCAAGGCAGGTGGGCACGTGGTGTGCGGCACCCTCCCGTCAGGCCCAGCCTGGCCCCTACGGACAGTGCCGTCCTCACACAGGAAGTCAGGCACCTCAGTAACAGCACTGTGCATCTCAGTGTCATTTCATTTATTGCTCACTGGTTGTAACCACGGCAGATCTCTGTTGAAAGCAATGGATGTCTGGAAAATATGATTTCTGTAGATCAGTTGTATGTGGTCACAAGGTGCAAAGGGCGGCCCCAGCCAGCTGAGAGCCGGGGAATGGGAGTTCCGAGTCCTTGCAGCGCCTGTAAGACTCCACTTCCGGTCTTCATGGAGAGGAGTTACACCTGGAGAAGGAACTTGATACTTGTACTCAGACATGCATCCTATCAGACACCATCAATTCCCCATCTGGTTCTCTACCCAGAGGCATTCCTCCCAAAGTCACTGAATCTCAGATCAGATGGAGGAGAACTAGACAGACTGCAGCTCATTCAGTCACTTTTTTTCCCCAAACTGTCAGTGCCCCCAATGAAAGCACACAATTCAGGCCAACTTCAGAAGAACCATCTACTGCCATTGCACTCTGGGGTTTATAATTCTCCTTTGGATGCCTTTAGAAAAGAATTTTATCAAGGTCAGCCTCTGTGAAGACATTTTTTTGCCTAAGAGGATCATCATGCAAGCAGACTAATTCTTTTCCTAAGCTATGATCTGGCAGCTTGCAAAGAGGACTGGCTCGACCTTGGGAAGCTGTCCTTCAGCGTGATCAGAAGAGTCAGGCTCGTCCGTCTCCATCCGCTCTTGTGCTCTTGGCCTTTAGAGGCAAGTCTGGCGAGAAGGGGAAGGACTGAGTGGTCTGTATCTGTCCAGGGTACAACTTCCACTGGTCACCAACTGTGTTCACCGTGTAACAAAAGCATGTTTATTATGGAATTGAGGTGACTTACATGACAATCATAAAGGGTTTCACAGACTCCTCATACTCTGAGGAAATCTACAATAAATTGAAAATTAAATTTTTCCCACTTTGTAAATCTGAATAATGCTCCATCTGTTTGTTATGTGATTACAATTTAGAACCTATACTAAACATGTTATGGGGAGAGATTTTTTTAAAAAACTCATTCAAATATCATAATTTACCATTTAAATTTTTAAAAACAGAAAAAGAATGAAACCTTATTTACTTTCCAGAATTAAAATTGGTCATGTGCTAATCTGTGAATCCTTGTAAGAAATATTCATTGTTCAAGAAAGGACCCTCCTCTGATGGTTGATAAGCGATTCTCTACAGCAGAGAAATGCTGGTATCTTCTCTTATCTCTTGATTGATGTTTTCACTACTTGTTCTTCAGGCTGCAAGACAGAAAGGAGCAGTCTTACTTTCTTCAAAATTACAGATGTCGAAGCTCCCCCGTTTTCTCTCCCTCCCTCCATCCCACACCCCCCATATCACTTCAGTCATCAAATTTAAGTAAGTCTAAATTTATTCATGTGGTCGTGTGTGTGGGGGGGTGGTGTGTGGTGATTGGGAAGGGTGCGAGTGTGTTAGTGGGAGTGCAGTCATGTGTGTGCAGCTGTGTGGAGGCCAGAGATCGACCCTGGCCATCTTCCCCATCACTTTCCACCTTCTGACCTTGGAGACAGGGTCTCTCCCTGAACCTGGAACTCATCGTTTTGACTGGATTGGCTGGCTGGTGAGCCCCTGAGATCACTGTGTCTCCCTTCCCAGTGCTGGGGTTACAGGCATACAGAGCCATGCCTGGTGTTTATGTGGGTGCTGGAGATCAGAACACATGTTTATGCTTACCCAGCAAACACTTTACCCACTGAGTCATCTTCCCAGCCTCTCTATGGGGAAATCTTTAGGAGCTAAATAACCTGGGTACAGAATGCCTGAATTTCCAGGGCCACCTCCATGTTGTAGAAGCAAATTTACATTTCTACACCGTCAATCCAGACGCTAGATTGACACTGTCAAGCCATCCCTTACAAATGATTCCAAAATAAAAATAACATACGTATTTTTACTATTGGCATGCCATGTACACCTGTCATTAAGTTTCTGATATAACTGCATACAGGACCCTCTTGTTCAGAGCTAAAGGTAACATTGGGCACTTATGGCACAAACCTCATTCTCCAATCAGAATTTTCTATTAGGCAAACAAAACAGAATACTTCTGGCTTTTCTCTCAAAAAGTAATAGCTAATTTTTGAAAATATTGACTTTATTCTGTTTTCATAAGCTGTTATCATTTGCTGTGTGCTGCCTGTGTGCCCTCTTATTTTACATCATCACTCAATCCCTAGAACTACACATATAGGTGCAGAGGTCAGAGGACAATCCCGAGTATTGACTCTCCCCTTCCGCCTTGTCTGAGACAAGGTCATCTTTTGTTTTTCCCTCCGTGTATGTCATGTTAGCGGGTCTGGGTGGTCCCAAGGGTTTGTCATCCTTCTGTCTCTGCCTCTTGTCCAATGTTTGTGCTGCTGTTTAATGAGCATGTCAGGGTTTTGAACTTAGGTCCTCATGCATACATATATAGCAAGCACTTGGAGCCATGCTGCCAGCCCTCCCACACCACTTTTAGTATATATGACATTTTCCCTATTTTTCGAGACAGAACACCAAGGCTTAACCTGGTTGTTAACACTGCACCCATGACCGCTTGAACGGGGCCAGAATTTTAACTTTGAGACGAGACCAGGGGGAGGAGCCCAAGCATTTTCTCCTATTGGTTGACTGACATCTCTAAGGCTGTGAGGGGAGAGGGGTCAAAGCACCAGAGGAAGGCGGAATCCTCTGAGAGAACCCTATTCCTCATTGCTAAGAGCCAAATGTCTTAGCAACAATCTGATGAATGAACATTCAAGAGCTCTAAGTAGAAACCTACCAGTCACCTAGAAATACACATAACACACCTTCATACTCATTTTCCAAGAAAAACCCTGTCACAGAATATTCTTAGGATCTAAGAGGGAATAGAATTGGTGGGATCCCCACCATGGGGAAATGAAGACTACATTCCTTTTCCTTCTTAATAGCTCTGGCGTTTTGCCTTGGTAACCCTGGTAACTGCAGCCTCTTTTTAATCGTTGTTATGAAAAGAAAATTCCTGTTTTAAAAAAAATCTTACATTTGGTTTCTGCCATCACTGGGTCATGACCTAAGGAGATTCTACAATTGTCGTCAAGTTCATGAATTAATGTGACATACAGATTGAGAGTTCGCACTGAGCAAACAAGTATAATTCCATTTTTATAAACTACAGGATGAACACTTTTCAAATGGAAATGAGTTTGGACTGTACGTCCATAGGTTCTAGCGAAGAGACCCAGCACACCCGCAGCTGCGCAGCAGCCCTCGGTCATGCCGCATAATTAGAGGAAACCAGGTGGAGGGGGTTTGTTTCAACATATAACTTATAAGAAAAGTGCTATATTAAGACTTCATCCCTCGCTTCGTTTTAGTCAGCATAACTACCCAGATCCTTTCTGAACACAGAGAACTAAGGTGCCTTTCTCCACATAGGCTCACAAATCTTTACCCCTGGCTATTGTCATTGCTCGAATGGCCTGGCATATTTTAGTCAGCATCCCATCTGATACAAAGAGCATGGGAAGTTGTACTGCTATTAATAAACAGGCAGCCATCCAGTCCAAAGAGAAAATTCTTTTTCATGAGAGATAAACTTCATACTTCATGTATTTTCAGAATGTTTTTTTTAAATCAAAGGAAAGCATGGGAAAAATAATTCATTACTTTGTTTCTATTTGTGGTGAGGGATAGTCTTGTAGCCAGTCTTCAACTTATTAAATTGGAAGAGAAAATTACAGTCACAATCTGTACACGTCAATCATACCTTTCAGTTTATGGCCAACATGCATAGTCATAACCATGGCTAAAATAAAGCCCGATTCTGCCATCCTGTGAACACTAGACATTTCCAGAGAGCTTTCTTTGGATCTTGGAATGCTGTTAGGAAGAAGGTGGAGTCATTTAGAATGGGTACCTCCACAAAGATTAAGTTCCCATGTGGGAGAACACTAACTTCTGTGAACTACACCTCCTGTGGATGCTCCAGCCACGCAGAGGTGTGACGGCCTTTGGGAAAGTCAGCAAGAATCACACCTGCAGGACCACCTGAGCACACGTATGTCTGCTCTTTCTATGCCCCTCTTTTTCTGTATTTTAACACAAAGAGGTCCAGAAGAGTGGGTCATCTGGGCACCAGACAGGAATGTCCATGTAGACTCCTAAGAACCACTGTGAAATGATCCCATCCTTGAAAATGAGCAGAAATGCGTGAATGCGGTCTTCCTGAGATGCTATTGAGGTAGAGAGAAAGCACTTATATTTGAAAAGGGCCACCAGAGGAGAACGTAATGCTCTATTTGTCACATCCTAAATTTCAACTGTTCCACGAATAAGCTAAGAAATGGCTGGGGTGCCGACAACACAGTGGGCAGTAACAGGGACGACAGAGTATATGGGCTCCAGTGGGGGGTGGGAGGCTATGGGAGGGTGCCAGTGGGGATGCGGGACTTCAGGGCTTTCTCTGCAGCTTCTTAATCTTTCTTAGTCTGTAGCCGGTCCATTACAGGCCCGTTGGCCTCCTTGTTCGCTCCAAATATGCTATTTTCTCAGCACAGCTGAGCCTACCCTACTCCAGGCCCTTGTCCTTGTTGGGGCATCTTGACATCAGGAGCAGGTCTGTGATCCCATCCTTCTGCTGTGCCAGTGTTCCCCGGCTTCCTGGGGAACAGAAAGACAGGCTCACGTGGTACCCAGAGGACACTCTGAAATGACAGCTTTCTTTACTGTTCCTGGGTCACCTTTCTGCAGCAATGCCTGGTCCCTTCAGCACCCCCGATGGTGATGGAGGAGCAGCCACTTGGGGTTCCTGCACCCACCATGCTCTGCATTGCCATCCCCATCTGCACAGGTTGTTCGCTCTGCCTGGAAACTCACCCTGACCTCTTGCCCAACAGCTCTCATTACTCAATGGGAGCTTGCTTTGTCCAGACATCCTTGCCAGAATTCACCCTGACATAGCCAAATGCATCTGGAACCTTTTCAGTAGCCACTTAAGAGTAGAGAAGAAAGCCTCAGAAAAATACCGAAGCCGAAGGAGGTGATCCGCAGACTGCTGTGTTCAGGCATCATTTCCGAGACGGGAAACTAGGAAGGGGTTGGGAATGACGGGGAAGGAAAGGAAGGTGGGATGAAGCAGAGTAGCAAGGAGGTGGGCTACACCGGTCCACTGCTACCCAAGCGGGACAGCCAGATCTGAGATACTGTTGTCTGACCAATAAATACTTGCAAAGTATCCTCTTTAGTGGAATTCGACGAAGCCCGCTAGTTGACAGATGAGTGGAGAGAGAAGCACTCAGATGCGGGGCAAAGGGAGAAAGACGCGGGAAAAACGGGTTGCACACGCAGGCTTTGGAAGCTGATGCCTGAGGTGGGTGGAATTCAGCAGACACGGGATAAATACGAGATGGATTTATTCAAATCTTTCTTGGGAAAACAAATCCCATACATTTATAGCCCGTGGAAAAAGGAAATAATTTAAGAAAGGTCGGATATCATGGACAGAAATTATGGACAGTCCAAAGTGCAGGTGGTTTGCTACCTATGAGTGTGTCTGTGCGGCCTAGCGAAACTGGCAAAAATGATGTGTAATTAACTTACCAAAGCACCTAAAAACACAAGCTTCCTCTGCTTAAATAAAATTTGCATTTAGTTTACATGCAAACGAACACTCTTGATGTGTTTTAGAACAGCTTATTCCCTTAAGAAGGCAAATATTCTCTTCATAATCTTGTTTACACCATTTGCTTTGCAAAACATTTTTCATAAAATCTCAAAATAATGAAATGTTATGGCCAGAAGGAACCCGGGGATTCTGTAAGAAAATCCAACACCACGGCTTCACACGTGGAAAAGCCTGAGGAGCCCCTAACTGCACTAGGCATTCCGGGGCCTTCACCCTGCAGCCTACGCCCTCTTTGGAGGCTTCACCCCAGCTACACCCGCAAACGTAAACAAAACAGGAAGCCCACAAAACTCCAAGCTTCGACGTGCACTCCAGCCTCGCCAGCTGCGTAGGCAGAGGAGACCCAGACCTGCACACCTTTCCTCACTGCAGACCAACAGCCTGGCTAATTCCTACTCATTCCTAAGCCTCAGGGACCTCAGTCTCTCCTCAGACTTTCCTGATCCCCCTTTTTCTCTCACCTTTTCTTCTGCCTTGGGATTCTGTCCTAAGTGCTCAGTGACCACTTGACCACTTCATAGTGCCACCTTTAGCTTCTGTCTGGGTCACTATTAAGGATGCCTGGGGGTGGGGTATCTTTCAGATTTTGTATTTGTGATACGTTATAAGACCTGGCATAGAATGCACAACCTTTTCCACTAAATAGTAAGGGAAATCCAAAAAAGAATCAGTTACCACATTGAGAAGAAACCTAGGTACCAGGTCCCTGCCTTGTTCGGTCACTGCCCTCATCTAGACAAGTCCATTTTCATCCCATATTTTCAGATAAGAAAAACAATGGAAAAGTTGGAGCATCCAACCCCTATTCCTCACCGAAGGTGCCTTTGACTGTACAGACAGCAAAAATGCTAAGATTAAAAAGCAGCTTCTGAACACAGAAGACCCTCTCTGTCTCTACAAGTTTATTACTTAGGTTTTGTTACATGAGCCAACCATGGCCTGAAAATTATAAATGGAAGATTTTAGAAAGAAATAAAATTTTCATTAGGCACCATTCTGAAAAGCATAATGAAATCTTGTTCAATCCCAGACCATGCTGTCTGGCATATAGACCATTTCTTTATCCTTTATGAATTAAATTTTATCATAGTGTCTATGTATAGGAAATGCTGTAAGATATAGGAACCAAGGCTCTCATTCCAACAATCCTCAAGAGACCAAGTCCTGTCAGCAACCATTCCAGCTGGTATTGTCCCTAGTTTCAAACCTCCACTAGGAGTCTTTGAAACATATGGTCTATGGATAGAGGGGATGACTGATAAGAGAAAGAAAAATGTGATCCAGACACAACACCAAAAGTAAAACTGCATACCCATAGCTAAAACCCGTGGTTAAAGCTGAGAGTTCTAGTCTGTCCTCCAAGGGATCCTGAAGAGAACAACTGAGTGTCTTACACACTGTCTTAGTGGAATAGCAGGGACTCCAGGCAAGAAACGTCAGTGTTCAGCCATCTTCTGACCAGCACTCAAAGGTATTGAAGGGCTTTTCTAAGGAGATGTGTGTGATTCATAGAAATCCCCAAAAGTATTTGAGACTAAACTTTGCTTTTCTGACTACATGGAGCAGATAGAATGTCAAATGAAAAGATGTTGATGAAGCCCCAGATTTCCACCAGCAGGAAGCAAACCATGGGCACTGTTGGGATACAAGTGTTCTCTAAGCTTTTTGAACAAGGAAGGCTGACTCAGAGGGTAGCCCAAGGTGAACAGCTTCTGAAATGATTCCCAGAGTTTCCTGCATCCTGGAATCCATGTCCTTCCACTGATGGCGGCCCTAAGGTCTAGAACAGGATCCTGTTATTATTCATACGTGAGGAGATAGAAGAATGTGGTGGGCAGCCGTGCTCCTCCCGTTCTCCGCTGTCTCCTCTGATTGTCTTTGTTATGTGAGTCACACACTTCCCAGGAGAGCTCAGGATGTCTTCACCAGTTCATCAGGAACAGAGGTCCCTATTCCAGCAACCCTCAAAGAACCAAGTCCTGCCAAGGAGGTTGAGAGCCCAGTCACACTAGCTCCCCTATGATAATGAAAGCCTTGATTGAAACTCCAGGGCAATCTTAACACCTAGGTAAGTCAGGCCCTGGATTCTCTCATGATCTGGTCAGATGCTCTGAATCCCTCGGGCTCCTTCCTTACCGTCCACCCAAGATAGTGTATGGATGCGAGTGTCCATGTTGTACATATCAACCCATCAAAGCCTTGCAAAAAGTGTACTTTCCTCACTGCAAACAATGAGACTAAGTCGAGAACCATCTGTTTGTAGCTGTGTGTATGGTGTTCTAGGTCTAGGGATCAAGGGGCAAAATTCTTCCCTGATAAGGGTGTGTCTGACTTACTTCCCCATTTCATGCCTGAGATGTTGTTTCAATAAAGAATGAATAAAGCCCAGCCTTAGGAGTACAGGTCTGAGAAGTCTCAAGAAACAGGTTTTTAGCAGTTCAGATTAGCTCTTAGTCTTAAAATGAATGCTGTGAGTCAGGCTATTCTGTATTAAGGAATAACCAAATGTGGCTTAGAAACACCACAATAGATGTTGTTTCATCATGAAGATTTGGGATCATTTGTTAAGCAGCAGTTAATGATGGTAACAAACAGTTACAGTTGAATTTTCTCCCTCCTTAGCTTCACTGTAGCTCTGTGCCCCTAGTACGTCAGAACATAAACATATTTAGAAACAGAGCTGCTGTAGATAGAATTACATAAGAAGGGGTCGCACTGGACTGTGTTGCACCTCTGCTCCACTCTGCTGAGTTCCTTAACAAAAGGAGAAACGTGGGCACAGATAATATGTATGTAGGGAGGGCACCACATGAAGGTTTGAATTCCGCTGCCGCAGCCAAAGGGCCTTCCAGAACTTGGAGAAAGGCCTGTCACAGGCCCTTACCCAGCTCTGCCAGCTTTCTGATAGCTGATCACAGCGGCTGTTCAGCTTCCCAAGGGCTTTTTGTGGTTATGTCCCTGGGTGCACTTCAGCCACTAGGATCAGGAGGAAAGTGTGCTGACGGAGGGCCTAGCATGCTAGGTGAGGCCAAGTAACACTCTGTTTGGACCCAGGAGTCCTCTGGGGTCCTGGCAGCACCTCGTTAAGCCTAGCAGAAGAAAAAAATGGATATATGGGTCCCTCTTCAAACACCATCTCCACAGGCTGTCCTAGCTGCAGAACAATGTGATGATTCATTCCACCTTGATCACAGCC